TAGTGGCGGGGGCATGCCGGGACGGTGGAGGACTGCGCGGGCGGGGCGGGGCGGGTGCGCGGCTGGAGGGGGGGGCTTGCACAGCTGGATCCATCGGGGTGCGCAGCTGGATGTGCGGGCAGGGGCGTGGCGCGGCTGGATGTGCGCGCAAGGGGCATGGCACAGCTGGAGGGACACGCAGGGCATGGCACAGCTGGAGGAATATGCAGGGCATGGCACAGCTGGATATGCCCGTGGGGGCATGGCACAGCTGGAGGGACATGCAGGGCATGGCATCACATGGCACAGCTGCATACGCCCCTGGGGGCATGGCACAGCTGGAGGGATACGCAGGGCATGGCACGGCACAGCTGGATATGGCCGTGGGGGCGTGGCACAGCTGGAGGAAAATGCAGGGCATGGCATCGCATGGCACAGCTGGAGCGATACGCAGGGCATGGCACAGCTGGATATGCCCCTGGGGGCATGGCACAGCTGGAGAGAAATGCAGGGCATGGCATGGCACAGCTGGAGGGACACGCAGGGCACGGCACAGCTGGATATGCCCATGAGGGCATGGCACAGCTGTTGGGATACGCAGGGGCACCGCAGAGGTGGCGGGCAGGTACAGCCATCCCATCACTCTGGGGGGTCCCCGAGGCCGCGGCCCCTGTGCCTGCCCTGTGTGGCACCCATGTGCCTGTCCCCTGCGTGCCTGGCCAGGCTGGGACCTGCCCAGTGGCATCTCCCCCCAGCTCGGCCCTGCGCAGCCCTGGCACCTTCTGTTGTGCACTAGGAAAAGTTGGCCAAACCCAGCCGAATTTAACCAGAAACTCCAGGAAACCCAGCCCGTGCCACTCCACCGTGCAGAGCCCTGGCGTGTGTCAGGCCTCGCACACCCACCCTCCGCTTTTGCACCTCTGGGACCCAGGGGCAAAACCCTAAACACCCTGTGGGGCCAGGGACAGCGGGTCTCCTCAGAGGGAAAAAAAATCTCTTTGGAAAGTGCTGGTGTAATAAAGTCACTCTGTAAAGTCACTCGGTGAAGCAGCACGTCACGGCACATCCCGGGGAGGGGAAGGGGCCTGGCAAGTGGCTGCAAGGGTATTTTTTTATTCAGAGAGCAACTGAAAGAAAGGGGGATTTGCGCTCTGCGGAGTATTGGATTTCCTTCCCCATCCCTGCTCGCCAGCTCTCCTCTCTCCTGGAGGAGACAGGATTAAATGTTTAATTTAGGGGAGTGATGTTG